TTTATCAGTGAGGATCCTTCGTCACGAACTTTTAAGTATATACGCCTAAGAAGCAATTATCTGCGGATCTTTTTGTCGAGGTTAAGTTATTTTTGGTTAAATAACATTATTACACTTTTTTTAATTTGCGATAACATTAATTTACCTTCAAAATTTTAATGTTTATGCGACAGTTTTAGCTGGAAGTTTCTTCAAAAGTCAATAAACTGTTTTGGGGGTTCTCGAATTTTTGTGTTATAATTTTAACCTAAAATTTCGTAATGTATGTTGTAATACGTGTAATACACATTTAAACAATTTATTTCGTCATATAATGTGTATTATAAGGTGTAGTCTATCAAGTTTCAAATTTAATTATGGATGTGTAATATACATGTTAGTGTAACATATGTTCATAAATATACATATGTATAATATATCTGGTATATGTATAAGTATATGTCCAATATGTAGATCCAATTTTCAAGCTTCTAATTTAATTGTTTACGTACAATACATAAGTGTAATGTATATTCTCATTATTATACATATGTTCAAAAATACGTGTATATCTAATCACATATGCATAAGTCTTATAATGTATTCAATATGTGCATTTAATTTTCTTAACTCTTTGATTAGGAGTCGATTGGTACGTCATAATGGAGGTCCGAAAGGTGTATGTGAAAACTAGAGCCGAGTTCGGCAAGCAATGTGTGTTCGATATTATGGGACCAACAATCGACGTCGAAATCTTACCAAATCCAGCTGATATGATTGATTATATATTAAGATCCCATTGTAATATTGGAACGCAACATTCAAAGCAATTAGCACTGCACGAGGTAAAAATGCAAATACTATACTTAATAGAAATATATGTTACCGTGAAAGATCGAAATCTGCTGAATGTCGACGTTCACCGGTGAATATCGACATTCACATAGTCGCTTGGTGTATGTCCGAAATATTTGCTAAATACCCTTATTTCTGATTTACACCGGTAAATGTCGACATTCACCATGCACTAACGGTGAATGTTGAACATGTCGGAGATTTATATTTTCTTCTCCGTAATTCAGTCGCTATAAAACGTCACAAGGGTGACGTACCTTTTTCGCCTCTCTTTCTGAGAGGAGAGACCAAGAATTTAAAACACATAGTACATTCTAAGCATACGTGTTCTTCCTCCGTAGCCTATTCTGGCGTGAGTTTCATATAGTATACTGAACAATTCTTCATTGGTAACATAATACTGTATATTCGTTTCCCCTGATTTTAATGGTACAATTAATTTCCTTTCATCATTAATTTTTAAAACGTCAAAACGTTTTAATCGTCTGTAATCCAAAGGTGTGTTGCACTTAGTTTTAGCAGAAACCACTTCAGAAAGTATTTTAGAGTACTTTTCTTGAGAAAAATAAAAACAATTGTCTTCTCGTTTACCCGCAATTAATGCATTTAACTTTTCAAGAAAAATATCACGATTTACTGCAGTATCCATTCAGTATAAATTACGGTATTGGAAAAAAAAAATTAAGAAAACGTTGCTCGCATCATCAAAGCTTGCGTAA